ACGCTTTCCGACCCTCGCAAACCGATAATACGATAATAATTTACACGATGCAGCGACGTGTTTACGCTCTAATGACGTCCGTTTAACGCCGATGGCAGATACTGCTAATTAAATCATCAGCCCAAAGGAAAGCGTCCGGGGTCGAAGGGGCCGGCGGCCTTTAAAGCGATATCATCGCTGAAAGAAATGCGCGTAAAGTGCAAAACGCCGTCAAGTTTCGACAATTAATCGACTTATCCGTCCTCATTAGTAACTTAGGATAAATGACGATTCTAAATGAAGAAATAGGCAGAAAAGAAGTCCTCTTTTGTACGCGAGAGTCCGGCTTCAAGAAAATCGATTTTGACGATTGGCTTAATAATACCCCACTATTTTTAAACTCGGACAATTTTTAACTTGCCGGTAAAGACAAATCGTCTAATAACACAGCTATCAAAACGTAATTAAAATAGATTCAATATACCATTAGGAAAAACAAATAGAAAATAATTGAGATTGACGAACAATATTGTAGTTTACAAAATATCGAGATCTATTTCCTCAAACAAGATATTACACTTTTATTCAGACCCTGATAAAAAAAAAAAAAGAACATTGTTAAAACGAACATGTCCATCCGTGGCACAGTGCATGAAAAGTTACGCAAGCTTACACATAAAAAAATAACTATAAAGAAAGATATTCCAAAAACAAACGTGATCCGAACGAAGAAGTTGACAGATGGGGGATTAAAAATATCTCATGCGATTACATATATGTCATTCAATTTTCGAAAAATCACGAAAATATTTGTGGTCGAATTGCTTCATATTTCGACCTTTAAAAAATCGATGTCAAATTCAATGAAAGCACACAAATAAATCCACAAATATTCGCGAATATGCTGCGTTAAATTGCGGTGAATTCGACGAATGCAGTGTGCAAATTTTAATAAATAAAATAACAAGTTACAGAGAAGTATAACATATAAATTTTCTCGTAAGAAGCCCGCTCGCGAGAAAAATATCTCGCGATATCCCAATGGAATAAAGTTAAGGAATTGCTATTCCATCACCGATTCAATGATAATTGTAACACGAAATTCTGTGTTGTACGAACAGTTTGCATGCTCGCAAATTAAGTCTGATAAATGTGACTCCGTCGTATCGCTTTTGTTATCGTCAAGTATTATTGTACACTTAATGCTACGCAGAGAAAAATAAGGTTAAGAGACCGCGGAAATAATATTTTCGTTAATAGAGATAAATGTATCGAATGTATTTAACCAGTTGGCAGCTTTCAAAATTTCTTTCCACACACACACACACACACACGCGCGCGCGCGCGCGTGCGCGCGCGCACACACACACATCACGTTGTTTTTAATTTAAATACTAAATTGTTTGATTAAGCAATATCCATAAAGTCCATAGTTATAATAGTTTAACAATACATAAATGTGCTAATTAATAATAACAACGAAATTATAAAGCGATGATTCTAATAATAATATATTTATTATAATAATTGGGTAATATTCCATTTTCTCAAATTATTTCTAATTAGCCAAAATAATCTCAAGAACACATTGATGAAAGAAAAGTTGAACAAATTTCATTTAACCGTAATAATCGCGTAATAAATCAATTATAGACCATCCGTGTTTCGCAATCGCGTTTCATCAAAAGACCGAATGATTTAACCCTTTCCGGTCCAAAATTCTCTCGATAGATATACGTACGTTGTGTCTTACGTAAGTGAATTCGTGCAGCCAGAAAATTGCAACGATCCCGCCAATCTTCCTTTGATGGCTGACCAAACCTTCGCAGCCATCAAGGGAAAATCTGCATCACAGCTTTGCACGGATATACATGGGGCAAAGGGGAAAACCGCTAAGTAGTATAAGTAAACCAAAGCTGATTCTTCTGACCGATTCTAAAGTTCACGCTAACCTCGACTAAACACTAACATGATTAAATCTACTTTCTTCCTCCGTTTATCGCGTTGTAAATTTAGGAGGAAGAAGGGGAAATCTTATCGAAAATTATACTATAGCGGAAAATGACTAAACGTATTTGTTAACTTATTCTATATATATAATGTGTGTGTGTGTGTGTGTGTGTGTGTGTGTGTGTGTGTGTTTTTCTATTTGTATTAAAATTGAGACATGTCTTCATAAAATGCAATGAAAAATTGTCATATATAAAATAACGATAATATTTAATAATGAACTACTACATTTTTCAGCGAATTTGAGATAACTTTTGTCTTTGGAAAATTAAATAAAAAGATTTATATTTCTATAAAAAAATTAAATTAATACATATGTTCACTTTTAATTTACTCTAAATAATCTCGCATTAAGATCGTAAAGCACACTCGAAATTAATAAAAACAAATTTTGTTATCTGTTTACACTTCTCAGATTTAACAAACGGTTATCTTTTGGTTTGTTAAAAATAAATACTATCGTAATAACATTAAGGTCTAAGGTCTCACGGAAGAAAAAAAGTCGTCAAAGAGAACTCGTCATTATAGTCATTTTTTTCGAATCGTACAATGGAAAATAAAGAAGATTATCATATTTATATTTAGCAAAACCTTTCACGATTGTAATCTTAGTATCAGCTGAGAAAACGAGTAACAATAGACTGAGTAAATAAACGGGAAACAGCACAACAACATAATATATACCGAGAAAAATTACAATGTATACGAACTCTAAAACTGCTCGCGCATTTTCGAGAATGCAAAATTCCACAAGAATGAAAAAAAAAAAAAAATCTTAATCTTAATTTGTCGTTAACGAAAATATTTCGCGGATTAAAGGCTGGTTGACGTTTCGCACGAGTCCTAACGTAATCCTCAAGTCATGCCAAGACGATTCAATGTCGCGAAAAACGCGGTCAAGAACGAAGGAATAACGGGTCCGGTTTCTTTTTTCCTACGAATTGATAAATTCGAGGAAAAAGGTCGGCTTCCGTCCGAGAGAGAGGAGAGTTCGGAGACGGTGATGCGCGCGCGTACGCGTAGTTTTTCGGCACCTTGTAGGTGCACGCGTCACCTCGCGCGAGTGACGATGACGAAGACGTTCCGAAGCGACGCACCGAAAATCCACGGAGATGGTCGCGCACAGCGACCGACGGACTCTCGCCACGGTTTACTTTCTCCTCGCGGAGAAAAAGCGAGTCCGGCGCGCAAATAATCGCGCGAGCGAGACGACGCGGTTGACGCATTCGCTCGCTCGCTCGTACGCGGTTAATGCACACAGGTTAACGTAGGTTGGAGGTTAACCTCACGCCGGAGAAGTAACAGCGAGTAACACGAGGCCGCGGACAGGACGAACAGCGCGCGACACGAGGACGAAAGGGGGACGAAAAAAAAAAATTAAAAGAAAAAAAAACCGACGAGGCCTTTCAACAATTCTAATCACGTCGACGGGATAACACGCGAAAGAGAACGAGAGGAGAGAGAGAGATAGAGGACTTACCCCATAAACCAGTCCACGGTATCGCGGAGATACTCGGGTAACCTATCCAGCTTGGATGATTTTCGTGTGGATCACCGTCGTGAGGAAAGCAGCGCGCGCGATATACGGGGAAAACAAAGTGTAAATCTCCTCTCCTTCCCTTTCTCTCACTCTTTCCCCGCAGTACTAGCACCACGGTAGTAGTCAGGCGGTAGTAGGCAGCTAGCGGCAGCAACGGCAGCAGCAGCAGCAGCGGCGGCATCGGCGGCGGCGGCAGCAGCAGCAGCGGCGGCGGCGGCGCGCGTTTCGCGATCTCGTGAAATCTAACATGGCGCGGCTCTATTGTCACCTGTTCCCGTCATGCCCCGCTGGCCGCCGAGGCACGTACCGCCCGCCGCCCGTTAGCGTCGCGTCCGATCCGTCGCGTTTGTCGACAGCTAGGTCTCGAGAATGCGACTCGTTGCTCGCGAAGGTCTAAACGTTCGGTGACGCGAATGAGAATCTACAGCAACCACAGAATCGCGCAATACGACCGAATCGGCACGCCGAATGCGTCAAGACGCGTCGCCCCCCGCTACGCGCGTGATAATCGAACCCCGCGACGCGCACAGCTGATCGCCTGACGTATGACGCGCGCGCCTCCGCCGTTCGCTCGCGCAACGTCGTGCTTCGCCAGTCGCTCGTAGACGGCAGCAGCTGTCAAGCGCGACTGATACGGAATGCATGTATCCAAATGCAAGGTTGTCTCACTTACGCGTAACGTATTAATAGTCTACATTATAGAAAAAAAAAAAAAAAAGATGATAAATCTTTTGTTAATTTTATTAAAGCATATTTTATTTAGATAAATTTATACATGTATGTTTTATATTATTCTATATATTATTCGGTTTACAATAATTTAATAATGTAAATATCGTCTACATTAAAAAGATTTGTGTTGCATTATATAAATAATACGTAAAAAATCCGTATAAATACAATGAATCATTTTTAAAAATCATTTGTATATACGGCACAACTCTGTTCAAATATATTTTGCCTATTGTGGAAGAAGAATGATTTATGTTCATTTATATTTTTCCAATATATATTGGAATTTTAACGTATTTAATTGATTTTTTTATCTTTCCTTGATTCATAGAATTCAAAAAAGAATAAAGAAAAAATTAAATTGAGAATTAATCTACAACGATAAAAATAGATATTAATTTGCCATCTAATTCTTGTAATTGTCATATGCGTCAGATGAAATTACGTGGAATTATAAACCGTTTTGACCATCGATATAAATATCTAAATAATTAGCTTATAATTCCGTTAAGTTTATATAACTTGTTATCGTCAAATAATGAAATATTTTCTAGGAATATATTGTCACCTTTGCATTATTATGAGACATAAAAGGCTCGAATAGATTCAACCAATATTCCCTTGAATCCCTTGAATATTGAAAATGCTAATTTTGCTCTTGTATTCTGGAAATGCCTAGAACGTCATAAATCGTAGCTACATCCGCTGCAGAGCTGCCATCTGGAAGACAATGCAGGGTGACGCGATTCCTGTGCGCATTCACGTTTTATTTCTTTCCGGTTTCGTCGTTGGGAAGGTTAGTCCGGTTCTCGTCATCCTCCGCTTGATAAAATGACGTGAGTACATAATCTTAAGAAATCTTTGCCATCGTTTATGTAAAATTTATCATCGTACTACAAACAAATACATTCACGTGCATCGATTGGCGAATGCGTATTATTTTTTGCCGGAAAATATTTGCAACATGTCTATTAACATAACCAACATATGTAGCGTCCATCTTCTTGAGACGTGAAAAAAATGTAGCGCTTGCTAATTTTTTCCAAATTTTATGCATCATAAGAAACAGGTTATCAAATACTTGCTGTTTCTATAGAAAAATGAATTTTGTAATTTGTAATCGTGAACATGAATCTGCACGTGTATTTGTAGGCCTATTCTGTTCGGTTGAACTTGCACAATTTATCTTTCTTCTTTTTCTCTTCATGTTAGAAAGAAAAAGAGAAAAGATGAATTTTTATTAAAAAGAATCTTTTCTTTCGTTCCAATTCTAGATCGAAGGTCTCCCGCGACACTCTTTATGAGTGCGTAAATGCCGTGCTCCAACATTCGCAAGACAAGAAGAGAAACTTCTTGGAAACAATAGAGCTCCAGATCGGTTTGAAGAACTATGATCCACAGAAGGATAAGCGTTTCTCAGGCACTGTCAAGTATGTTTCTACCTGACTTTGAAGCATTTTTTTCAGTAATTTCTTGTAACGATGATATGTCACATGCCTTATATTCTTCATTAAGAACATCTGTAAAAAAAATGCTTCATGCTATGTCAGGAAGCTGGATTTTGAGTTTTCCAGTACTGATGCATTATATCATAGATTGAATTCTGATATGTTGCCTATATTAAAAATGTATAATTTTTCTATTATAGATTTTTAATAGACATATATCAAATCACAATCATTGTATTTTCTGTATCATGCTGGAAAGCATCCTTTATCTGGCGGACCTGTACCCAGGGTCTTAAATAAACTGGGGAGGTATTTATACCGTTAATTAAATTATACAGGATCATGGATTATGATCCTGCTGGTAAGTTATTATTGGAATGTTGTGCGTTTTTATAATGCAAGGAAATAGAACGAAAAATAATCTCGAAAAATTTTTAGGACATACAATTTTGAACTGGTGTGATTTTATATATAAAATGTATATCAATTTTATAATTAAAATTTCTCGAGTCATCAATGTTCTATGATGTTTTATTTATTGCATGTATTATCTGAACAATTTATGTAGTAAGATATTTTAATCTGAGAACATTGAGACTTTGAATTTATTTTTTGTTTATGGCAATTTAACAGTATAGCCTCATAATAAGGATAAAGATTGCTAAAATCATATAATCACATTTAAATCATGAAAACATATGTATTTATTTAAATGTTGATTATTATTGATCTTTATTATTAGGTTAAAGAATATTCCTAGACCAAAAATGCAAGTATGCGTTCTTGGCGATCAACAGCATTGTGATGAAGCTAAGGCTAATAATATTCCATATATGGATGCAGAAGCATTGAAAAAACTTAATAAGAATAAGAAACTTGTCAAGAAACTCGGTGAGTTGATACTTTTTGCATGTTTTAATGACAATAATGTTGCCTTCCCAAAAGCGCTATCATTGTTTAATCCAAACAATGGTGGTTGTCAAGAGGAAGGAGATTAAAATTTCTTCACAGGTGAGGGCGATGTGAATTGTATCATCGTACTCAATCCGTGTCGATACATATATTATTTAAAGAAAAATTTGTTTTAAAATATTTGTCTTTGTTTTTAATTCGAAAATTTAATAATGAAAAATGATAGATTTTTAATAAAAATTTTATATTTATTAAGAATTTTTATATATATATATATAAATTTTATTAAATATATAATGGATAATATATTAATATGCTTGCTATTTTTCTTTTACAGCAAAGAAATATGATGCATTCTTGGCTAGTGAATCATTGATCAAGCAAATTCCTCGTCTTCTTGGTCCCGGTTTGAACAAGGCTGGTAAATTCCCTGGATTGTTGTCTCATCAAGAATCGATGGTTGGTAAAATTGATGAAGTCAAAGCCACTATTAAGTTCCAGATGAAAAAGGTACGTTACATGTTTACAATTATATTTTAATATAAAATTTCTCTATAATGTCGGTATTTTCAATAACGATTTCTTTTGTTTTACAGGTGTTGTGTCTGTCAGTAGCCGTCGGACATGTTGATATGACACCCGATGAGTTAGTACAAAATGTTCATCTCTCGATAAATTTCCTCGTTTCTCTGTTGAAAAAACATTGGCAGAATGTGCGTTCTCTTCATATTAAATCTACCATGGGACCACCACAGAGATTGTACTAAATCGCACTTGATACTGTACATTTTGAATGTACATTTGTTGCAATAAAAATAAAAAACAAATTTATCAATTGTTTACATTAACCCTTTATTTATCATTTGTTCTTCATTAACCCTATTTTGTCTCATATGCGACGAGCAAAATGCACGATTTCTGACTTTTAAAACTTATAACGTTAATGCGAAAATTCTAAAACTTGTAGGAAAGATTTTGTACAGTGTTAGAAATATTTAATAACGTTTAAAACAACGCAACTTGATATGAGAAACTTGTCGATAAAGAGATAAAGCTTTATCGCTATGTGTCGCTGAAAAAAAATGTTTACATCACCTCTGGTTATTTATTTACAAATTAATGAACGAAAAATAATATATTAGTTTGTTGTAATAAATAATTCGTAACTTTAAAATTTAAATTTAGTATTTTTTTATATATAGTTTATATTAAAAAAGGCAAAGAATATAATAATTTAAAATAATACCATATATATATATGCACACACACATATATATATATATATATATATATATATTCAGTAGCGCGATAACGTATCTCTTGGTTATTCTGATATTTGTTATATGAGTAATTCAAATTTTTTTCTGTTTGCTTTATCATCTATCCTAGCTACCTGCTGGAATCAGTACTAAACGCTTTCAGAAAAATATGTGGTAAGGTAAGGGACTACGTATATACGTCACGCGGCTGTAGGCGATAAAGGATGCAGCCAGGCCCTGGATCCGGTTCACGGATGCTTCTTTGGGGACCGTATATCCGCGTGTAGGTGTAGGCTGTATACATGTATGCGTGGGTCCTACCGAGGTCTACTAAGCTTGAACAGGCACACCACAGCCACGCTATTTCCAACGATCTTTGTGGGGGCAGTCCGGTGGCGGTCGCTATGCTTTGAAGAGGCACATGGTTTCAAGTTCCGCTTCGTAAGCAGATGCCAGCGGAGCCGAGGACCCACGTTTAGTCTTCTGCGCCCTCTTTTCGCGCTTTTACACCTACAATCCTTGCGAAATTCTCCTGGCGATTCACGCGCATTGTTAGATTTATTTCTTCGCAGGATCTCTAGACGAGCGTCGATGGAGTAAAGTATATACGGTGAGTTTGATGAATGTGCTTCGAACCTGTTTTCGTAATTCAGTTGGTCGTGTGAGATTATTTCGAATCTCATTGGGAATGCTTCTAACTTTATGAAATGAATAAAATAAATTAATATATAAAATTTTGAAAATATTGTTCAAATTTAACACAAAACTCCCGGATACAATTTACTGTCAAGATATGAATAATATTTATAATTATCACAGCGGTTAAAAATAAATAGTTTCATGCCTTGTTAGATAAATGTCAAAATTTTAGTTTTTATTTAATTTTAATATCATAGTATAATAAAATTCAAATAATTACAAAACAAATCGCAACATATTTTTATAGCAATAATAAAAATAAGGGAAAAAAAAGAAGAAGAAGGCTAAGCATAATTGATAAATAATGAATGATAACGCTACTAGGAATGATTTACTGATACGGAGAGCTGATTTTTACTTCTGATAAAATTGACGACTTCTGTAAAATGCGATAAGCACAAATAACAATAACTCCGAGTTCCATTTAGATATATTTTTCGAGTATTACGACAATCAAAGTGAAATCGCTGACAATTGTTTGTAGTATTAATCAGAATTTTTAAAAGATAATTTATCGATTAAATTATAAAAACTGCACATTTCTCATATTTCCATTGCAAAATAAGAAAAGCTTGTACCAGATAGTCAACTGATTATTTTGTGAATAAGTAAAAATCTTGTAAAAAAGAATATTAATGTAAATAATGACCGAATAGTCCTACAATTTAAAATTTTTGAAAGAGAAAAAAATTTGAAATTCTAGGATTTGAATTTCTAGGATTACAAAATTACAAAACATCGAAATCGCCGTTTTTGAACAAAAGAATCGGATATTGCGTAGACAAAATTCTTGTTTTACCAATTTACTTGATTTTCTCGATCGCGAATCGATCGACGGCTGTCGCATTCCTCGAATAAGAAGAGTACATTGTGCGTCTCGCAACGTTAAGAGTTTTTCGCGGATTCAGATAGCAATATCGGATACGTAGGATTATCGGCCGCGGAATGGAAAAAAAATCGGCGACCGCGACCGCCGCTCGTTCTTCCTCCTCCCGCGAACGGAGGGCGCGTAAAAAAAAAAAGAAAAAAATTAAACATGCCGTGGGGATCGGATAGACGGCCGGCGCTTGTGCTTGTATTTGATTAATAAAGTGGCCGCAAAAGAGTGCACTCTTCTCGGACGAGTGGACTCTAGCCCGTTATCAGTGGTATCAACTACAGAGCGGCGACAAGCAGCCAACCCGACGGGAGGCTGTCAACGACGAGCGCGGTTGCGTTGGGCAATGATTATCGAAAGCGCAACGAGACGACCGAGCGAGAGACATTACTGACAGTTCTCCAGACGCAGTCACCGGGAAACCCGGGTAGTGCCGGGTAGTACCAATATCGCGCGTGCAGTGAATTATCGATTCGTGATCGTCCCTCCTCGATTGCCCAGAGGCCCGAAGAGTTACGCCAGTGTTATCGTCGTTCGTCGCCGAAAAGCATGTGATTCTTTGCCTCGCGAAGTAATTTCCGCGAAGTAATGCCACCCCGAATGGTCCCCCGGATTAATGGTATTTATAATTGACATACGTTGTACAATTAATTCAGGATCGATGATATGAGCATTTGATGAGCACGGTATACACGATGCGTGCCGACAACGCGCGATAATAGAGATTACTTCCGGTTTTTTTTTTTTTTTTTTTTTCTTTCTTAAAAAGTAGCCGGAACACATTGTTAATTGTAGCTCTGCAATTCACGAGTTTCGAATTTGAATTTTAGACGTAAATAAACTTCCACTGCCAAGCATATGAAAATACACAGAGTCGAAAAAATTGTCAAGAAAACTAAACGCGTATCCTTGAATGATGACGCACGCAATCTTTCTGACGGGCGTGAAAGGAAACAGATATGACTGCTACAAATCGTGGCTTTCCAAATCATTTCCGTTCTGTGTGTTAACTGGGATGCGATTCATTTTAATAGAAATCCTCGTCTCTTACGCCAACGATGGATGATACTTGTTGGAAATGTTGTATCGCGAGTGCAAGAAAGAATTGTGTTAAAAAATTACGTAGAAATAACATTTTAAGTAACGAGATAAAGATACTTACTTCGCTGTCCGCTATTTGTGTAAATTAAATGCTTAAACGTAAATAATTATTGTCACATGAATACCAGTCAGAATCCTCGGAGTTTTGTGATTTTCGCAAATGATATTTCGTAAGATCGCGATAAATTTCTAATTAAATTTTAATAAATTTTTAATGAATTTTTAATGAAAGAAGAAAAGCCGAGCCGCTAGTTTCTTTTCTGATTCTTTTCTTATTCTCGTATTAAATAAGATATTCCGTGACACTTGGGACGGGACGTTCGATCGAGTGTGTTGTATTTGCAGCGTTCATTAGAACATGATCCTTGAAAAACGCCTGATACCATTCGTTCTTGCTCTTCGCTTCCTCTGCGTGCTCTGCGACGATGGCGCACTCACCTCGAGAAGAACAACGACATCCGAATCGACGAGATCACACTACGATTCCGGATCAACGAGGAAGATCGGGACCATTCATTCCAATCGGTCGATCTATGATTCCGAATCTATTGAGAATAATCTCGTGAAGATCAAGGGCTATCCAATCCACGGATTCACGGACTACTATGGATCTACGTTCGCACCTTCATCCACCATAAAGTTGCTCGCCGAGGACGATGCTCGGTCCTCGTCACCTACGACTGTCGATCGAGCTACAAAGTTCACTATTCTACCCGACGACGTGACTACTACTACTACTACTACTACTACTACTACTACTACTGATAGTACGAACAATGTGACGATCTGCGATCCGACGTGGCCAGTGAACGCAAGTGGTAAATTAGAATCTTTATATATATAAGAATTAATTGCTTAAGAGATAAGAGATTTGTCTTACAGCACGATATATGGATATCGATGAACTGAAAAGAAAAAAGCTAAAGCCATCCGTTTTTATTCCCGAGACATTCTACACTATTCATATTCCATAATTTTGTTCTCAGCGGATACGAGAGAGGTAGTTAACTTGAGGGCAGACGAGGTAAGCACAGAATGGATCGTTCTCTCGTGGGAACCTCCGTGCAACGCGACAAACTTAGTGATATACTCCGTCGAGAGATGCGACAACGACAAAAACTGCAATCAGGCGAATGAAACTGACAGTTGGCATAACGCTACTGGCCTCGAGCCATGTACGCAATACACGTTTAGGGTGAAAATTTTGACTGAACTCTGGAACTCCGACGGGACCGGTTTGTCAGCCACGACGGATCACGCCAGTGAGTGTAAAAAATTGATTTGTCGAATGTAATCATTACTTTGTTGAAAACTAAAAACTCTCATCTAAATGAGAGATGGATTAGCACGCATGTTACCACGCTGATTCTCTTTAGTTTCGGAAATCGGGGATGTGGCCTCTCTGAACGCGCACAACGTCAGCGTGACAGCTGTCCAACTAACTTGGCAGCCGCCCGCGTTACACGCGAAATGCATATCCAACTACTCGGTTGTTCAGTGCGACGGAAGATCCTGCAACGAGACCGTGGTTAACGCCACGAGTTACACCGCTAACGATCTCAAGCCGTGTACGAAGTATCGTTTCACTGTCAAAACAGTGACGCCGGCCGTAGAGTCCGCCGGTGTGAACCAGACCGCTAAGACAGCTTCGCCGAGTAAGTTCAAGCCTCTCTAGAATTGGTGGAAAGATACGTAGCCTCCTATGAAATTTGCAAATTAATGTTTTTTCCGGAAGATATTTCGTTAAATTTTATTGTTCGATTCATCATGCAAATGCGTGCTCCGTCTCTGTATCCACTTGCCACCAATTCCGGGACAACTGATCCTCGAGAGATCCGTCTCTCTGCTACCGTCGATTTGTGCAATTTGCAGAATTGTCAGCGCCGCAGTCCCTCGACGTAATACCCGGCAATTTTTCCTTGACTGTTAAATGGGAGCCGCCAGAGTCTGGCACGGTTTGCCTGAAGCATTATCGCGTAACTGTGGATTCCAACAGATACACCGTCAACACCACGAACACAAGCGTGATAATATCGCATTTGTACGCCTGCAAAACGTATCAAGTGTACATTAACGCGGTGAACGAGGACGACGGGGATGGGGATATGATAGACAAGAGCGGTACCACGAACCACTACAGTAAGCGAATTAGACTTTGAGACTTATTTCCTTACCGCACAATCTAATTAATAATTTAATTAACTTTATCAATTCGTCGAACGTTCTTTTGTTCGTGTTTTAACGTGTGCCGAATAAAAAAAATTCTTTGATATTTCAGAAACAAATCCACCGGTTTTGCACACCCCCGGAGTACCACCGGATATTCATAGTCTGTCAATGATCTGGACTATTCAGAAAGAGAACAATCATTGTAAGCTGATATCCATAATAACCATGTGCAATTACACAGAAACAAAGGGAAAAGGGTACGATCCTGTCAATAAAGTGTCCCCGATGAAGATAAATTCTGATACCGCTACAGATTCTATCGTTGTCGTAAATACAACCGTAGACGGACTGAGTGCTTTCACGAGTTACACTTGCCGAGCGCATGTCGTTAATACTGGAGGATACAGCGATCTAAGTGACGAAGTCAATGCCACAACATTGGAGGACGGTAAGCATTCATTAATATTCTTATTGATATTTTAATTTAATTTACTTAATTTATTATTGGACTAATCTTGTCAAAAGTATAAATGTACAAAAAAATAATTTAACATCAAAAAAACATTTTATAATGTTGAAAATATTCATCTTGACTTCTTAATTTCTTGCTCATTTTTATTTTATAAATGATTAAATAAATATTTTTTCAATTTTATTTGCGGAATGAAATTTAATAACAATTTTAATTAAAATTTAAAATATATATAAATTAGTGATTACTAATTTTTATGCTAGTTGATATTTTATGCTACAATTTTTAGTGCCACTTCCACCTACGTCCATTTCTGTCAGGAATATCACGGACTCACAATTCTCTTTATCTTGGATGGAACCGCCATATATACCTGGTTATCTAGAAGAGTTTGAAATTGCAATAGATTGGGAACTACTTTACTGGATTCCAAGTTGGTGTCCTCGCGAGGAACAAAATAAAGATCACTTTAGAAAACTTAACGTAAGTGGAAGCGTGTTTGAGTATGATTATCTCGAGGCAGAGGCATTCACGAAATATGAAATACGTATGAGTGCGAAAACAAGAGGGGGATGGGGCAATAGCAGTGAACCTGAGATATTTGAAACCAACAGTGGAAGTACGTTTCATTTTTTTAATAGCATTGGTACTTAAGCCTTGTCCCAATTCTAGAATATTTTAAGCTTTATAATTGTGTTTGCTCAGTTCCAGGAGCAATCTCCAAATTTGATTCCTCATCCATTATGATAAAAAAGAATCCAAGTGATCCGAATGTATTGGATACGATTTTGACATGGGGTCTGCCGTGTTCATTGAATGGTTATCTCGAGTTCTTTAACATATCGGGCCATGGCGTCAGAGATGGATATGATCCTCATCACATTTTCATAAAATATGAATGCGCGGATTATATTTCCAACGATTATATGTGTTTGATAAATCTATGCGAGTTGAAAGCAGAATATAATTATACGTTCACGATATCTACCAAAGTCAGAGATGTCGATATACTCGGACCAGAAATAAATCAAATCGTGCTGTATCCTGCCGGCAGTAAGTATCGATATGAATAATTCCCATTCTTTAGATAATTTATAATTTCTATCAGAATTTGCGAGACAGATTTCTATTTATAATTTCATGCACTATGCTATATAAAAATATAAAATATTGAAAGACAAAAGACAAAATATCATGATATTTGAATATCATAAAAATATATATATTAAAATACTTATAATAAAATGCATGACGTGTAAAATGATAAATCGAACTCTGTTTTAAAATTTGACACAAATTATAGATTACCGATGTGCTTTCTAAAAGAAACAACGATGAGACATACTCTATGACATAAAACATAATCACGCCTTCTTCTTTAATCCTTCTGCAATTAATTCTGCAGTTAAAGAGAGTTCTTTTGTCATTGCAGTACCGCCACAGCCTGAGGACGAATACGTCACATCGATCACTCTGGATCCGAACAACGCGCGGAAATCCACAACGACCGCTACTGTCTTGCTGCCCTTGTTTCTCAATACCAATGGCAACATTAAATATTACGCGATTATGGTATCGAGGAAGGGATTCAACGAAAAGCAATCGAATACGAGATTCGATTTGAAAAAGGAATCTGGCCCAACGAGACCTCTTGGGAGGAAGCTATGAAAAGTGACTTCTCATTAACATATCAGGCTACGCAGCCGTGGTGGAATCCCAATCGTAGGTGATATGCTCATAGATAGTTATAGGACGATTGTTTATAAAGCACTGCAATTCGAAACGTCCCGCATGCATTATTAAACAGCCGTGACTTCATTTAGCAAAGTACATCGCTGATTACGGGCACATGAAAGTCATCGAGTTTACGATCGGCGAGGACACCATCTGCAAGGATATCTCGGAAAAAATCGAAAAACGAGTGTACTGCAACGGGCCTCTTAAACCGGACACGTTTTATCACGTCAGAATAAGGGCATTCACCGACGGTGGTTACGCTGATTCTGAGATATTCGTAATAAAAACGAGTGAGTATTTTGTAATTTGTCAACCGACAAATAGTCGTCCATCTAGTGTCTAAACATCTTATATAATAGAAATATGAAAAGCACATATATGTTTTCCGCTTTTTTTTCATCTAATTTTTTTTCTCCTTTTTTTACGATATTTTTTCACTCTATCAGATGCAGAACTGAATGTCGCTGTTATTATCGGGGCCGTCTTTGGCATTCTTTCCTTGGGGATACTGGTGACAATGATGCTGTTTGTGCGAAAATGCTCGCCATACATGTAAGTTACGATTTTTCATTTTCGTAACGTACAAACACAGAGAAACATAACGAGGAGAACATGAAAACGGAGAGCGGTTATTAACGCACATTAACGTAGATAATTAGCTCCCGTATCTTGATCGACGCGCGGCAGCGACGATTCATGCAGCACCTCGATCAGAGATATAATCGGAACTCGTTCGACATCTCGTAACAGTGAAATAAGATAAGATAAGATTCCTGCAGTCGCTGAGAAAGAAAATCTCAAAGTCGCGCAGTAATAATAACAAAGTTAAAAAGTTTGTCGTTCCGCATGACGAAAGACCAATCGAAGTCGACGACGATGATCACGCGCCGGGCACCGGGTCTGAAATGCCCGAGACAGGTGCACGCGCGTTTCATGAACAATGATCAATATTTATTGTATGACTCAGAGAGGAGAACTATAGCGCTAAGCGCGTGAACAAGGTCGCACGCGATGCACGCGTCTGTCGCCCGTCAGGATATACAGTACGCTACTTGGGCTTGATGCTCGATGAGATTTAACGCGTCGCCCCGCGCGATTCGTCGAAGTTCCGAAAGTCGAGGATATTTTTAAATTAACTTCGCGATTATTTGTCCAAGTATCACGCGCGGGTGGAACGCCGCCAGAAGCGGCATCGTTGTTCGGCGAGTCCGCCGGGCAGGTTCGGCTGTGACTCTGAACTTTTGAGAGAAAACCGAGTCCTCGGTTGTCCTCGGTTTCTAGCCAAGTGCGTATGCTTATTGCGTAAGTTTTCGTTGTTTCCCCCTACTATGAATGGACATCGCCTACGCTACACCGGCGAAGGAGAGATATGTATATACGACATACGTGTGAAACGCGGATTGCTATTGCGCACTTCTATGCGATTCTCTTCGTTACTTCGGCAGCCTTCGTTCAACTCGCTAGCGGAGACTCACTCAGCGATCACTTTTCTAATCTTCGTCACTTTATATATATGTATATTATTATATGTGTCACATATTATTATTTTATTACGCTATTTTATTACGCATATTAAAACTTTATATATTTTATATATTTATATGTCGAGTGGATAAATTTCCTCGTTTTTTTTTTTTTTTTTTTTTCTTCTTCTTATTAGTACGTTTATTGTTTTTATATCGTGTCTTGTATGTTCAACGATAACG